AAGAAAACCAAAGGTACTGATTTACACTCACATACAAAGAGATGCCAAGGAGCAGACATGCTCTGACCGGCTGCAAAGTTAGTCTGTCCCCCCCAGGACAGACTCACTGAGGAAGCCAAACGTCCCCAGCATGGCTAGGAGCCCGAGCAGAGTTCTCCCAGGGACCAGCTCGAGGAACTGGGTGTCCGGAACACCCATGCAGCTGGTCGGTCAGGACCCGTCTCCCAGAGGACCAGGGCATGCTGCTGCCCACTCCCCAGCTCGCCCCAGTCACCAGCCTCCCTGTGTCCTCCCAGCTTTTCCTTGGAGGAGAAATACTCGAACTGAACGAGCCTCTTCCATCCCAACTCCACGTAGAATGTTCATGGACTCGCTTAGGTGACTGTTCTTGCTGACTGTTCTTACGTGTAGGAGGAAGTCACCCTGCAACAGTCTGGCCATGGAGTCCGTGGAAGACCATCTGTTTGGGTCCCCCACTGTGTAAGGGGTGTGTATGGCCTGGCTGCGGCCTAAATGTGGGAGTCTTATAGTTCTCTCAGCAGGGGAGTAGGATGGGAGGGAACACCCAGCGGAAGGCGTGGTCAGCATCCCTGCTCGTGATGGGAACAGTCCAAGAATCAGAGAATAATCCAGGTGTCTGAGAGGTTCGCCAGCAAATGGAGTCCCTTAGCTGTTAGTACAGACCAAGGCATGAATTTGCCTTCTTTTCTACAATAGGCACACCTTGTGTTTTGTTGTGGTGTTGTTTTTTTTGTTTTTCAATCCTCCCCCAAGGAAACCTTTCCATTTATCTTCAGATAGAGTGGGAGGGAGAGAGAGAGAGAAAAACATTGATGAGAGAGAGACACATCAGTTGGTTGCCTCCTACATGACCCGACCAGGGCCGGGGACCAAACCGCAACCGAGGTACGTGCCCTTGACCGGAATCGAACATCGAACCTGCGACTCTCCGGTCCCCAGGCCAAGGCTCTCACCACTGAGCCAAACCGGCCAGCGCGGCACACCTCGTTTGATTGCTCCTCGCCTCATTGTGTTTCTCAGGTGTGGCATGTTTTAAACAAACTGAAGGCAAGACCCTCCACCAGCAGAAGGATCATGACTCGCTTTCTCGCCGTGGTCTGAAATCGCACTCAGTATCTCCGAAGTACGCCTGCACTCAGAACCTTATGTTTAAGCAGAAAAGAGAAGGAAAGGAAAAAAACCAATTCCCAATGCCTGGGCCAGAGCAGAGTAACCACCAGCAAAACAGCTGTTAACATGGCTGACGCTCGTTTCTGTTAACTGCTTTACTCAAGCTGAGGGCCTGGCAAGGGAGGAATTCTGGCTGGCTAAGCGAGGAGAGAAATTTCAGAGGTAGCCACCACAGATGGTAGCAGATGTCGCGCAGCACAGCACAGAAGCCACCAGGGACTTGGCCATCTCAGAGCTAAGCAGAAAAGCTGACGAGTCCTCAGCCAAGCCAACTGCCAGTTCTGCACCCCAGAGGCTCAGGGAGCCAGGGAGGGCGTAAAAGTCGCTTTAATTAACAGCTTTCCATTCTCTTCACCCACAAATCTGTCTCTTCAAAGACCTAGGACGCTGGCGTCCGGTCCCCATCCCTACCCCAGCATGGCAGCAGTGTGGAGTTGTCGACGCAGTTTGCAACTAACGGTACCGGCTGCTCCAGTCCTGGGCTTATAGGGGACCCTTCCAGGGCCCCGGGAGTCACCTACCTGCAGGAGCTGAGAAGCCACGTCTCAAACCGCCACCCAGGGCAAGCTCTCGTCACACCAGCTCGGGGCTGAGTCAACAGCTCCACCAACACCCTCGGTAGGACGCTGCCAGTTACCCTCAGCCTCCTCATCTGTTAAGCAGGGAGGACAGTGTCCACCTTCCTGAGTGTGGGGACAGTTACACTTGACGGTGCACACAACGCATTCGGTCCAGAGCACTGAATATCGTCAATGCTCCAAGAACGTCCGCTGTCCTCCCACATCCGTGAACACCCCGGTGTCTGGTATCGTCACGGTCCCCTGTGGCCTATGCACTTCCACATCTCGCAGTCATACCTATTCGCAGGTAACTCCCTCCCCGTGAGGGCTTGGAGAACGGGCTACATATCACACACCAATAACTTTTTTTGAAATTAGTTTAAAAATTGATTACAGGGGGGTGGTGGAGGGAGGGATAAATAGGCAGAACACAGAGGATGTGTAGATGTGAAACTGTTCTGTATGATACTGTCAAGGTGGACGCAGGTCACTGTGCATTTGTCTGAAGTCACAGGAGGTACCAGAGTAAACTGTAAACTATGGACTTGGGGAGGTAATGAAGGATGAATGCAGGCTCATTAACTGTAACAGGTGGACCTTCTGGTGGTGAGGCTGGGCACTGTGGGGACAGGGGTCTGTGGGGAAATCTCTGTGCCTTCTGATCAAGTTTGCTCAAAATAAAGTTGATTAAAAGAAATAAGAAACAAAGTCTATAAGAACTGATGAAACACACACAGCCAATTCTGCTACTGATAGCGGCTCTGACAGACGTGAAAATTTAAGAAATCTAGCTCTTTATTTAACATCAAAGCTAACATCAAGTGTTTATTTAAAAAATAATGGCACCTGCTTTGAATGGGGTGAAGATCTACAGAGAATCTATAATTTTAGGCTGACACGAAACCATGTGGTATCCCACAAAATGGAAATTATGCGGTGGGTTCGACCATGGACATTCCCAGTTTTTACTGTCAGCACTAACTACTGCCTAAACATAACTTAAACACGGAGCACGTTTTGTTGAAACATTTCTCTTGGGACAAACACAGTGAGACATGCTTTAAATACATAAATTAAAACTGCAACACATACATCATTCAAAATTCAGGTATATTACTTTCCAGCTTCTTATAAACAGGAATTGTACTGACTTTGGAAAGATAGGTTAATTCTACTTTATACCTTTATGGGTTATCAAACTCTTATTAACTATACCATCTTTTTTTAAAGCTTCTTTACTTTGATGTAATGTAAACAGGCCAATCTCAGTTTCCAGTGACTCATTTTTGTAGAACAACTTTCCTTAGCACACGTGCTAAACTTCTTGAAATACCTCTCTCCAGACAAAGCCCTAAATTGTAAATAATCCCACTCTGTCCTACCACAGGTTCCTCAGAATTATAGAAATATGCAAAATAGGTTATTTAACCACACATGTTCACATTAGTTAAAAGTGTAACGAAATGTTTTTCCGGACTAATACAACAATATTTGGATTCAATACAAAAAAATGTTCCCAGTCAATGCAAAATAATTTGGTCTTTCAAATCCAAACAGAAAGGACAAAAGTAATTAGTTGCCGGAGGGAAGCTAGTTTCCACCCCCATTACAGAGCCCATAATTAACCCCGATACCTGGAGGAATGGCTGGGATCAATGAGCACGCACAGTGGGGCAGTATTTCAACGGAAAGGAGAATGACAAAGCTGGAGAGAGGCTCGTCACAGGGCTGCTAGTGACAGAGGGATGACGGCCGGATGGGCTGGAAGGAAAAGAGGCTCTGGCGAGCAACTAAAACCACCGAGGGCACACCCTAGGGATGTTCACTGCCCCACGTCAGCAATGGAGTACTTGTATTTACTGCTTCATTGTGGGTTCTGGTTTTTTTTGGGGGGGAGGGGGGACGTGTTTTGTTCTGGTTTAATCATATTCAAAACATACGCTGGAATAGGCAATTCAAAACCCTCAGGGGAGTATTTTTAGGTTTTTGTTTTGTCGTCAGGTAACCATCATGATCTTGGTGATCGTGAAAATGTCACCCCCAAACCCCAGTGCCAGCACCCGGTGTCAGCATCTACACTCACTCAGTGAGTTCAGGGAATGAACGAGCAGGTGCTCAGCCGCCCCGCAGCTGGTGTGCATCTTTAGCGGGTGTGCGTGAGATGTTCACTGACAGTGCGAGGCGGGAAGAGGGGTTCGCTGACTTACACGTAAGTTACATATCCAATTTTAGGATATGTGATAGTTTGACCACTATTTTCCATTGTATACTTATAAGATTTAATTTAATTTCTTTATGCAGTGCAGAAAACAGGCAGTGGGAGGGTTTATTCCAGAAGCAGAGGATAATAAATGACAGAGGGTCAAAGTTTCCTTGGGATATGTCATCTTATTAGAAAGCTTCATGCACTTTTGCCCGGCCAGTGTGGCTCAGTGGTTGACTGTTGACCCATGCACCAAGAGGTCGCAGGTTCAATTCCCGGTCAGGGCACATGCCCAGGTTGTGGGCCCAGTCCCCATTGGGGGGCGCAGGAGGCAGCCAGTCGATGTTCTCTCTCATCGATGTTTCTCTCTCTCTCCCTCTCCCTTCCTCTCTCTAAACTCAATTTTTAAAAAAAGAAAGCTTCATGCACTTGTTTCAACAAGACTAAAATAAATCTGTGTCAGTTGAGCATATCCAAGGGAAAACAAGCTTATCCGATGTCTAATGAGAATCACTGAAAATACGAATTCTGTTCAAAGAATTCATACGAGGTGCAGTGATTTAGACACTACGCTTTTCCAGAACAGAGCCCGTTTCCAGCAGACTGGAGGGGCTGGAGTGTGCTGCCTCCCATTTCTTCACTACTCTCATGGGGAGGACACACTGACCACAGGTCTGGGAAGTGTCACAGCAGACTTGCTGGGCTGAGCCACGGAGTGCAGTGTGGTGGCAGGAGGCCGGGTTCCCAGACCCTCACCTCAGGGCTGGAGCGCTCACCCATTCCCGCTAACCCAACAGCAGCGCCTGCACCCACGCAGCCCCTGGCATGTCCGAAGTGCCTCAGAGAGATTCACAGACATCAAGAAGAGCCCACGCAGGACCCAGCTTTATGCAAGGGTACAAGTTACACCAGCCCTCAGCGCCCAAGGACACTGATGCCCTCAGGTACAGGGGAATGCTGGCCATTAAAATCTAAAAGCAAACGGAAGCACACCATTTTTTCGCCCTCCCTTCCCTGGCCCTGGAACCGGTTTCTGCCCCCTGAATTTGATGGATCAGTGTATTAACAACCAATTCGGGAGATGCAGGGAGAGAGAAGACAGCCACAAGGGGGTTGGGTCCAGGAACTCCCTCTCGCTGACAATTTCATGAAGTCACATTTATTGTTTTAAAGAGCTCGAGTCTGGAATTAGATCGTGGTGACAGCTGTATGAGTTTGTGAACTGATTAAAGCCACTGAACTGTAAACTTAGAACAAAAGCTCGAGTTGAATGAGTCTCACACACACTGGACTTGCATCAGATGCTCGACTGTCCCATTCTCTCAAACCATGGCACACGGTCACATCCTTTTCAGGAGATTTCCCTAAAAGTAGTTTGCAAAATATTGCACTTAATTTAAACCCGGGCAGTTTGAAGGCTTCTGGAAGAAAACGTACACTCACATGCATCTTTATGTCTGCAGACATAAGATGGTGGGTGGTGGGAGGTGGGGCTAGGCAGCCGTTGCCATGAAATTCCTCCACGTCTTCATCTGGGCTGAAGATAGTGAATGGCATCCCCTAAATAGGCCTAAGATGCTAACTTTTGAAGGCTGCTGCCTCAGGGAAATGTGGCCACTCTGTTATCCTAGGACCATGTTCAGTGAGATGCTAGGAGACAGACGGCACCCTTGGCTCAGGCACTGCACCTAATTTATCTTATTCTTGCTGGTCGTTCAGGGTCCTAAGAGGACTCTCTCCATCTTCATCCAAGTGAACCGCTCCCACCGATCTAGCTGCCATCCAATCAGACCGCATGTCACACGTTCCTCCTGCTTCCTGTGTTCCTACCGGAGGGCACTGCAGCTTTATAAACTACGATCAGGTGTTCCTTCTTAAAGAAAAAAAAAAATCCCTGCCACATAAGCATCATGTGTTTTCAATTACCGAGTAAGCGTCAAACCCCTCACAGACCTGCAAATAAGGTGGGTCACCCCTCACGGGGGGCTTATCACAGTTAAGGTTGGTCGAGTCCCAAGCCTCCGGAACAGAGCCGGCAGGACCCCCGAGGATCGTTAACGCCGCAGTCTGATGAGGGGTTTGGAAGCGCTTCCGCGTGCTGGGGAGCACACAGCCAGCTGAGATGAAATCAGGCGCACGTCTCTGTGGGTATGAGAAGGCACGAGCCCCATTCACACATCCTCGTGTCTTAACATTTAAAGTGCAACAGAACAATACAATTAACTTTGGATGGATAAACAGGTGTGCAATAAGATTTCCATGTTAGGGGAGCCACACACAACTGAGCACTGCGGACAATGGCACATATGGGACCTACGGTCCACTGTGGATCATCGGGATGGGCTACACGGGATTCACTGCACATCCACAGGCCGCGCGTGTTCAACACGGCCACACCTGTGCTCCTTCCTCCCTTCCCAGTCGTGACTCGTCCTTGCTGCTTACAGGACTCAGGGAAAACGTGACCAGTGACAATGGTGAGCTCACTGATGACGGAGACTCGAGAGGGAGACACGGAAATCCCCTTTTCTTCTGAGTCACTAATTATGCCAAGTGCTCCGCTACCAGAGGCCCGCCAGGCTGGTGAGGCAGGTGGGCAGGGGATCCGGTGTGATTAAGGCAGCGAGGAATGTGGGGAGGGCCTGGCAACACAGTCACGGTGCCCAGGCTCAGGGACCGAGCGGGCACGGTGCCGAGTCCAGAGAGTCCTCATCACCTGCCACGCCCAGTCCCCACCCTTTCACGTTAAAATTTGGTAGTACGCACAGAGTTCACTTGAAGATAAAAACGTGAACACACTTGAGGACGGGGACCAGCGGCTTCATCTGGGTATTAGTATCCGTTCTATGGCACACAGAATGTGGTCCCAGTTCTTACAGAAGATGGCGAGCAGAGTCACCGCGAAGAAGGTGCCCACGATGTGGAAGCGGCTCTTCATCATGGGCGACACGAACTTCGCGATGGTGGACACGCACACCAGGATGACCGTCATGAAGGCCAGGACCACGTTAATGCACTTGCCCAGCAGCACCCTGGCGCCCGCCGCGTCTGTCTGCAGGGCCTGCTGCTCCTGCTGGTGGAGCTCCAGCTTCGAGATGCGCGTCTGGCAGGACTCCAGGGCTTCCTGCGGGCAAGAGGGAGAGCGGGGATCAAACGCTGTGAGATCGTGGGCGACACGTGTGCGCCTGCGGCCCGGAGTGCACGGAACCCCCGGCTCAGAGTGCGTGGTGCCAGGCGGCCTCACACAGCCAAACTGACGGTGACAGCGAGGATGACGACAGCAAAGAAATAAAACAGGAGTCCCAAGCCCATCTGATCCTGTTCTGTATGGGCAGAATAGGCCTGTGTATACAGCCATAAAATACCATAAACGAGATATTACAGTTTGGTATTCTGACTCCACCTACATAGGAAATAAAGTGCATAAAGCATGGGCATCTGTTGGCACCATGGGGGACAAACCAGAGGCGGGGTGGGGTTCCAGCGGGACTGTTGTCTACCTCCAGCCATGGAGCGAGCAGGTGGCGTGTCCAATTGCTATGCTAGTGCTGATCTCAGGGCCCAGTCTGCGTGCATCCACTACAGACCCGTGGAGGATGGGGGAAGGGCGGGGACAGACTGACTGAGGGCACCTCTGCTTTCGCCTGCTCCCGGACGCTGCTCCCCTCGGGACATTGTCCGAGGCCACGCAGTCTCGCTAGATCTGCTCTTTCCAACACTTCAATGACTAAGACACAGATGACCTGAGTATACCTCTAGCCCAGCTAATATCTACATCCCTCCTTGAAATCTTCACTTGAGCTTCTGAAAAGCATCTCAAACGCAGTATGTCCTGAGTGGGTTCATGTATCGCACCTTCGCCCACACCTGCCCTCAGTGTCCTCTTCTCAGAAAGCAGCCCCTGATCCGCCCAGCTCCTCACACCAGAAGCCTGAGAGGTGCTGGTCAATCCATCACCCAGTCCCATCAATACAACATCCCGTACCGAGCTCACTGCTCTGCCCTCCCACCCTGACCACCCCGGTCCAAGCCACCAGGATCTCATGCCTGCAACTGCTACACAAACTTCCCATATGACCTCTTGATTCTCACCCCCATGAATCCACTTTCCACGCAGCAGCCCAAACGATCTTTCCAAGATGCCTACCTGATGTCACTCCTTTTTGCAAAACTTTTAAAATCTTGAACATGGCTCAGGCCCAGCCTCTCTCTCCTGCTCACTGTGTTCTGGCCATACTGGCTTTTTCAAGTTCTGAAAAGGAGCGTGCTCGGGCTTTGCATATGCAGTGTCCTGTGTCTGAAATGTCTGCCTCCCACTCCCTCTTCATCAGTAGACATCCCACTCATCTTTCAGGTCTCACATCAACGGTCAAGTCCTGAGGGAAGCCTTCCTGACCCATCAGACGACACCAAGCCGCCGTGAGCCCTCCTCCCACCCAGAGGCCAGGCTGCAAGGATGAGGCCCAGGCCACTGGGCTGTTACCGCAGCGGGAAGCCAGTGCCAGGCATGCGGCAGGAGCTTCAGACGGGCTGAACACTCAGGAGACTGGGTAACGGGATATGAAGCTTGAACGAGAAAGACCGTTAGTCTCTCGAGAGAAAAGGACCTAAGCAGAGGCAGAACAATGAGCCCTTCTGAGCCCACTAGCCTACTGTCTAACTCCTTCACCAATATGGGTTTGCTCAATCAAAATACAGTCTTCTTCTCAGGTTTTAAACAGCATAATGGCTCTAACATGATTTGCTTTTCTTCTGCGGAATATATTCTATGGGCCAAAGAACAGGGTTTGCTGTTACTATAGTAACTTTCGTGACGCAGGCTCCCCACACCACAGGTAGAACTTCTTCAATCTCCACGTTGGAAACAACACTGCTCTTCGCGACGACAGGCAAGTGCCCTGGGAGTCGTTACTTTTCCCCCAACCCTTGGGCCCGAGGTTCCCTTCATTTTGATATGGAACAGGTAACGCAACAAGACAAAAGCCCAACCCTTTAGGCGAATTAATTCATCCTTGATTGGGTAGATGAATTACATATATAGACTAATCCTAAAATGGCCTTAGAACCATCCACTGCTGTTGTTTTTCACAAAAAGAAAAACATAGAAGCATTGAGCAATGTACTGTAAGGAACTTTAGTCACAGCGCCTACTAGGAGACACTCAGCCCACAACCTCCAGTACTTCTGGGGTCCAGTCTTCAGTGTATTGGGGATAAAGACAAAGGACAGGATAATCTGTTAAACTCTCTTCAGTGGAAATTCAGGGTTAAAAAACCCCAATACTCATTTGCTTAAAATAACAACAAAGCCTTGCACCCCGATGGGCAGCAGCCACGCCATCTGTACCAGCCATCACCTGGAACAGCCCTGCCGCCGAGGACAAAAGAAACAAGAAGTAAGGACCAGTTGAGCAGGCCCAATTGCTAAAAGCCCTGAGAAACACAGCGACTCACCAACACAATGAAAAGAACAGTCAGCATGTATTTACTTTTGACTGCTTATGTGCCCGTCCAGCAAAGATGTAAATGCTTTATGTTATTATCTCATTTAAACCTCTCGACAACCTTGTGAGACAGAGCTCGTCAATATTTCCATTTTGTAGATGAGAAAACTGAGGCACAAGAGCTGGGCTCTATCACGACAAGAAGGACCCTCCAGCCACCCACAGAGACGTCCTCTTCGCACTTCGGAACTAGACATGAAACTCAAACGTGTTGGAAGGACTCTTCTGAATTTTTAAGCTCCCTAGGTGAAGTCCCTCCCTTTGTCTGACCCGTTCATCCCTAAAGTATGTTTCTTAAAAAAGGAAAAACAGCCCTGGCCAGTTTGGTTCAACGGTTGGAGCATCGGCCTGCGGACCAGAGAGTCCCGGGTTCGATTCCCACTAGGGGCATGTACCAAAAAAAAAGGAAGAACAGCCCTGGCAATTTGGCTCAGCGATTAGAGCGTCCGCTCATGGACCAGAGAGTCCTGGGTTCGGTTCCTGCTAAGGGCTCGTATCTCGGTTGCAGTTTGTCCCTGGCCCAGATTGGGGCTGTGTGGGTGGCAACCACTCGATGTGTCTCTCTCTCACGTCAATATTTCTCTCTCTCTCTTCCTCCCACTCTATCTAAAAATAAAAATGCAAAAATGTCTTCGGGTGAGTATAAAAAAAAAAAGGAAGAACACTATTAACCCAAACTATCCCCTAACTAAGAAAACCAAATATTTAGACATAATCCAGCGGCATTCCAGACATGTTCTAAAACAGAATGATCTAATAAAACTGACTGCGCTGTTCACCTAGTAACACTGAACATTTAAATGGGTTCAAATTTCTGAAGCCAGGAGTGGTGATGCCATCTCCTAAGCCGGAGCAGGGGCAGACACCCTCAAGTGTCTGCTGCACCCCCATCCTCAGGCAAGCATTTCCTCCCAGCTCTGCTTGGTGCTCTGGCTCCCAGAACTGTCCCAGTGCACACGTGGGATTAGCAGAGGCTCAGCCCTCGACACAGAGCAGAACAAAACACGGGCGCTGCGGCTGCAGCTCACCCTGTGGGAGAGATCTCTCGTTAGGCTTCAGTCTTCTCCTTCGTGAAGTGGGTCTGGAGAAAATAATTCCTGGCTACAAAGAAAATTTGTAAAGAGGAAGTTGAGCATTACTTAATGAGAATACTATTTTGTTTTTGTTTTTTTTAAAAAAAGGGCAATCAGAGGATATGTAAATGTTGGCACAGCCACTGTGGAAAACAATATGGTGTTTCCTCAAAAAATTAAAAATAGAACTACCTTGTGACTCAGCAATTCCACTTCTGGGTATATACCCAAAGAAAATGAAATCAGTATTTAGAAGAGGTGTCTGCACTCCCATGTTCACTGCAGCATTATTTCCAGGAGCCAAGACACAGAAACAACCTAAGTGTCAACTGATGAATGAATAAAGAAAGGACATGTGGTGTTATGTCTACGATGAAATACTATGCAGCCATGAGAAAGAAGGAAATGCTGTCATTTGCAACAACGTGGATGGACCTTGAGGGCATTATGCTAAGTGAAATAAGTCAGAGAATAAAAAATACTGTATGATCTCACTTGTATGTGAAATCTAAAAAACTGAACTCAGAGAAACAGGACAGACTGGTGGTTGCCAGAGGTGGGGGGTGGAGAATAAAATGGGTGGACATGGTCAAAAGACATAAACTTCCAATGATAAAAGCTAAATTTGTTTTACATTTAAAAACAATTTTTAAGTGTTCATTGTGGTGGGGAAAACAGGGTATAGGAGACGTGCTTGGGGGTAGATAATAAACATTTGTTAACTAATTTAGGCAGAAAATAAACAGAATATAGTTTCTTTACTCAGTTATGTCTATAACAGCCATTTTTCACTGGTACGCCGCAATTATTTTGAAAACATGCCATACCCGACTATTTAGTCAGGGGCACTGACCTCTTTTTCCTTAAATTGTCAAATAAAAAAAATAGAACAGCCAATACAATGATAACCATCCAGTGTAAATGAATCAAAATTATACCTATTTTTTTTTTTTTAGGTCAGCAAAAAATACATTTTTTGATGTGCCGCAGAATGTCAGTAATTAGTGCGCCATGGGATGAAAAGGTTGCAAATTGCCGGTCTGTAAGGTGAGCTAATGGGGTTAGTAAGGAGAGGAAATGCGGCTCCGGGGCCAGAAAGCCTTCAGGGCTTTGGGGTAAGGCGCTCAGTTTGTTAAGTGAACTAACGGCGGGAGAGCCTGCGTGAGTTCCCAGTGACGAGCAAAGGCACCTGGATGTCCCTGGAGCGCTCGCACGCCTGGTAGGCCACCTTCTCCTCGATGCTGGCCAGCTCCTGTTTCAGGTCGGCCGTCTCGTGCTGATGCAGGTCCGTCAGGTCATGGAGCTGGTCTTCTAGTCGCTCGTACCTTTGTAAAGAGAGGGGCCAGTTCGGAGCACATTTCAAAGGTGTTCTAACATTCTGGAGGTCCTTCAGACCTCACTGCGCCCAGGGCCCCTTGGCTGATTTCTCCCCCGGCAGACTATGTTCCCCAGAGAAAAATCTAGCTGTGGGAAACCCTCGGATAACACTGACTTCCAGGTCCGGAAAAGACAGTGTCCACAGTCCTAAACCTGTCCTCACCATGAAGTTTCATGCTAAGCAGTCTGGCTTTCCCCCAGGTCAGACCAGAACCTGACTGGCTGCGATGAGGACAGGACAGACGTCAACAATGACACGTTCACTGTGGCTGGTCAGGAGGCAGGACTGTCTGGGATCCTGCTCCAGGCAAGGACTCGCTGGCACCCCAGTGTTCCACCCCTTCTGCACCCACAGTGCCCAGCGGTTCACGGGGACAGCTGTCACGCGCCGGGGTGCCTCTAAGGGAAGAACCAACTACTACACTGGAGCCAACGCCACTATTTCCCAGTGTACACCCCAATGTACACACTGATTCTGAATGCTTGTTTCAGCTCTTGGAATTTAAGTGCCAATAACAAATTAAGCTTACTATAAATTATAGATGGCTTATCAGGTGGCATTTCCAAACGTCCAAATCTAAGGTAACAGAGACACAAAGATTCCCATTCTTGCCCCCCCATCCATATTTACATAAACTTATGATGTTTATTTTGAAACAGGAAGCATTATTTGGAGAAGATGCACCAGCCTGAAATGACTTTTATCAATGCCAGTTTTTAAGATGCTTTGCCCTGGCCAGTTTTGCTCAGTGATTAGAGCGTCAGCCTGCGATCCAGAGAGACCCGGGTTTGGTTCCTGCTTACCTTGGTTGCAGTTTGTCCCCGGCCCCGGTTGGGGTCGTGCGGGAGACAGCCACTCGATGTGTCCCTTTCAAGAGGTTGTTTCTCTCTCTCTCTCTCTCTCTTCCTCTCTCGCCCTCCCACTCTACCTGAACAAAAATGAAAAAAGATGTCCTTGGGTGAGAATAAAAAAAAAAAAAGAAAAAAAAAGATGCTTGTACGTTTTAAAAAAATGAGAAATGAGACCAAAAAATACGTATTTAATGCTTATTCCTAGGTAAGATTTCACAGATGCTCAATATTGGTGTTATAAACAAGCCCTTTAAAGATCTCTTAAACAAGCAAGATAATCAGTGGCTAAATCACAAATATAACTATATAACAAATGAGAACAAAAAGCTTCCTAAATTTATGTAAACTGGGATAAGATTTGGATCCATACAGTGCTGTATCTATCCCAAGCTATTCAAATGGAATTAAGGTTAGTATCCTCTGGAAAATTTCAGACTCAAAAATAGTTCCTATGTGACAAAGAAACCAAAGTCAAAGCTATATGAGAAAAGTTTTAAAAGTGGTTTCATGAAATACAAGCTGAAAAGAGCTACATTCCTAAATTAATACACATATAAAACCACCTAGCTATCAGATATAAAACATGTGAGCTAAACTTAAAATTTAAATCTTATAATATGTATTTACTTTTTTTTTTTTTTTTAAAGAATAGTTTATTGATTTTGAGAGAGAGAGGAAGGGAGAGAGAAACACTGATGCAAAAATGTAACATCTATCAGCTGCTTCCTGGGGATCAAACCCGAAACCTGGGCATGTACCCCGGCCGGGAATCGAACTGGCAACCTTTTGGTGCGCAGGACGATGCTTAACCAAATGAACCACACTGGCCAGGGCCCTGCATGCTTTTTGACCCATATTCCTCTTTATGAAAAACACAACCACCAGCCTATCACTGTCAAGCAATCTCTCTGCACTCAGTAACTCGTGCTTCCAAATAAATCCTAAGAGAAGTCTGAAATAATACCTGTATCTCTCCTCTTGCAGGGTCTGGGAAATAAAGCCGTATTCTCTCTTAAACTGCACCTTCAGCGCCTCGATGTCCTCGGCCAGCTGCGCCTGGGTGTCCTTGATCTCCCTCAGTTCCTCCAGGACGATGCTGAACTTCCTCTGGCTGCCCAGCGTGCCGGCTGCACCGGCCCCGAACGACTGGTTCCCGTTGCTGTCGGCCGAGCCCGACGTGCCGCTTGAACACTCGTCGTCACTGCCATACTTGGGTTTGTTTACAATGGTGGCACTGCCCCCGTAGGTCCTGGCGCTTGCCTCGGGCCTAAACTCCTCTAAGGAGTTTTTTAAGTGAGCAATGTTGTCTGCGCTGCCAAACTTGTTCCGGATCAGGTTGGCAAACTCTCTGGACTTATTGAAGACAAACACGGGGGGAGTGAGGGAGACGCCGGGCATGCCCGATTTGCTGCTCTCCATGCTGTGGGGAGCAGTTCGAGACTTGACGTGGGCATCTTTCAGAGAGTGGTGGATGTCCTTCAGGTGGTCTTTGGAAATGTCCTTCGAGGTCCTGGAGGCTCCGTTCTGCTCGATCTCCCTGAGCTTTCTGTGATACTGTTCTAGCTTCTTCTGCAGCTGGGCAATGGAGTGAGCAGACTTCTGATTCTTCTTCTCGAAGACCTGTTTGATACGGCCGGCCTGCTGCTTGTCGGCGCTGTTGACTAGTTTCAGATATTCCGCAACGTTCCCATCACGGGACGTCTGCTCGATTTTGATCTGCTCTGTGACCTTTAGAATTTTTTGTTTCAGGTTGTCCGCATTGAGTTTGACCTTGTGGAAGTCCAGGATGCCATCTGGAACGTCGAAGTTGAGGTTGGTGTCTGACCCGCCTCGGCGGATGTTCAGGGGCAGGCTTAGGGTGTTCATGTCATGGCGCTCTACCTGAAAAAGACGGGGCAGGAGAAGCAACGTTAAAGTGTGAAGTCTAAGAGACAGTTCCGGTGCTAGAATCTGTGCACACACAACAGACATACTTAAAAATCCCCTCTCGGGTTGAATATAGGTCAGTCCAACTCCTTCCCATATACACATATACTAACTGGGAGACTCTCCTAGGGCGTCCAATTTTCTGTCTGATCAAGATGGTAACTTTTGGTTGCCAGGGGGGAAATACGTAATGGGATGAGGGTACCAGTCAGCCCCGGGTTCCCAAAGCCCAGGTAACTGGGACGCTGCTGTTCCCCACGCACAGCGAACCTCACCCTGGTAGGAAGTGCGTCCCATTCATTTAATGAAGGAGAATGAAACAAAGACAAGAAGGAAAAACAAAAGAAACTGAAGTTCCAGCAGGTAGATTCCTCTATACAAGAAACTATTTTCGTAATGGAATCATTAAACAGATGTGATGGGTTAATACGGTACACGTTTAATTTTAATTGAGTGATACCACAGTATTTAGATGTGGAAACAACCGCAAACCACAACCAAAGTGATATAAAAACACACTACTAATAATAGTAAGACCATGTGAAATCGCTTTCTCACTCAAGGGCCACCTGGGGGAAAAGAACTGCAAAGTTGAGCATCTTGGCAAAGGTGGGGGGGCGTGGGGGGGTGGGAAACGGGGTGCTAGCCTGTCCGCGTGCCAGGCACCACAGGTGTAAATGAGCTGTCCTCTGTGATCCTCACTACCACACCAGGCAAAGAGTGTTAAGTCCACATAACGAGTAGAAACGGAGACTTAAAGGAGTCGGGATTTGAATCGAATCACCCCAACTCGATCCTCTTTCCACGTCCGGACACTCTCTGACTAGTGTCTCCAGAGGACCCAGAACAGGTCTTTGTGGGGTCTGAATACATTTTCTAAACAAAGATTTGTAAGATCTAAACTGAAGCACCTCATTTGTCAAATTAACAACCTTGTGATTAGAATAATGCCTCGAAATAGTCTCTCGTGGGAGACAAGACAATACTCAGCCCATCACCTGTTTTTAAGGAGACGTCAGCGTCACTGCAGAAAGTTAGTTAAGATGATAGCGGATCCCACCCTGCCCGAGCGGCCCGGACGCGTGTGTGGACGGCTCCCAGCAATGAATACTGTTAACAGTTCGCCATGTGAGAAATCCCACGCAGTGCTTCTCCCGGAGAAGGGAGCCCAACAGCACCGTGGGACGCACACCCAGGCTGCTGGGTCAGGCTCCTTCACAGCTTACAGGAGTCTGAGACGTTGTTTCTGGGCCCCTCTCCTCCCACACACAGTTTTGCCATGTCTGAGCGACACGGTTGTTTTGTCTGGCAGAAGAACATCAGGCTGGAAGAAACGAAACGCCAAATTACTATCACACAGGAAGTATGAAAAAAAGGCAAAGGAATTGTGACGTCAGTTGGTCGAGAGGGAAGGATGGGTGTAGGGGCTCAAGAAGGTATACATAGAATCACCATCAAGTCCTAGAGAGGCGAGGACAGGAAACTCAAGGAAGCTATGTATCTAGGGCTCACACTAGTGGAGGCAAAAAAGGAATGGACTCAGATCACAGCCATAAAGAATGCACTAAACCTAGCAAATGTTTGTTTTGGGCAGACAGGGTATCTGTACAATCATGAGGCTGGGAAACTGATGTCACTGAAGATATCTAATTGAAACATGCTTCTCTACTCCTCAGAAACTTTCTTTGCATCCCTAATGCCTCCCAATTAAATAATACAACCAGGCCACTGTTTTTTGTTTAATTTTTTTTCTTTATTGATTTCAGAGAGAGAGAAAGAGAAAGGGAGAGAGAGAAAGAAACATTAATGAGAGAAAGCATCGATCGGCTGCCTCCTGCATGCCCCGCACTGGGGATTTGACCCACAACCTGGGCATATGCCCTGACCAGGAATTGAACTGGCGACGTCTTGGTACATAGGTCGATGCTCAACCACTGAGCCATACTGGCCGGGCCAATCTGGCCACTGTTAAAGACACAGCTTATCTTTCGGGCCTCGCGTCGCACCTGATGGATGCTGGTTAGCTTATGTGACGCAAGCAACCCAAAGTTCCCAGAATGTATGTGAATTTCCTCCTGTGTCTAATATTTGCAATGCCTGCCACCCCTTCACCTCTGCTAACCCAAATTCTACTTATGCTGCAAGATCCATTTCAAATGCCACCTCCTCCGTGAGTGTGTCCTCATCCACTTGGATAGCTGCCCTTCCTGTCTGTGATCCTCACTCTACTCCCCCTTATTCACTCATGGGTGGACTTGAACCCTCAGAGTGCAGGCTCCCTGAGGGGAGAGATGGGGCATGCCTGTGTCCAGCCTGTCCCAGCAACTGTCCCTTATTCACAGGAGGCTGCCCGTACTCTGCATCATTCAAGAGAGTCTACACTGAATTCATTTAAGATACATTTTTTTTTAAGACAGAAAGGAAGGGAAAGAGAGAGCGAAATATCAATGTGAGAAACATCGATCGGCTGCCTCCTGCACGCCCCCTACTGGGGATCAAGCTGGCAACCTGGGCGTGTACCCTGACCAGGAATTGAACTGGGACTTCCCAGTCCATGGGACGACACTCAATCCACAGAGCCACACTGGCCAGACTAAGATACAATTTAATAGAATCAAAAAATGACCTTGGTCTGAAGTTTGGCCCATACAGACCTGACGATTCCAGGTAGAGCCCTAGAGGTGTTTTCCTAACACCCAGCTAATAAATTCGACATCATTTCACACTGATTCCACTAAATGGAGATCATTGTGCAACAACACACACAAACACAAATAAGAACTCTTAAGTATAATTTGTACTCAGAAAAGAGTACATTTAATAAGCATAAAACTCAATGAATTTCCACAAACTGAACACGTGACGTAACCAGGACCCAGTTAAAAAAAGAACAGAAACATCCTCGTGCCCCCTTTAATCACAATGACATCACATCCAGGGGTTACAAAGGACCTGCCTTCAGCACTGTCGTCTTTTTTTGCTCTACATTGTCTGTGAGATTCATAAGCGCCTTGTTCTTGCCTCCTTATGCTCAGTAGGATAAAGTTATTAACAACAACAACGCCCCAAAACAACCCGCTTGGTATTTCCCGTTGAGAACTCCACCACCAGGCCCGAAGACACAGAGGTTTTTATACCTTACCAACCGCAGCGGGAAGTCATCACCTGTTCTGCCTCCTTTAACTCGCAAGCACATCGCTGCTGGCCACCCGACGACTCCGGCGTCTCAACGCAATGGCCTCGTTCCCTCACAGGCTGCCGGGCCAGGACAGCCTTGCAGTTATAGGAATGTTCATGCCCAGAGGGCTGGCTGACGTTTGGCTCACTTTAAAGGTATCACAATGCTTGGCATGTTCTCGAGAATCCAGGTCAGGGAAAGCTACGGCACTCAGAGCTCAAATCAATCACTCTGACTACTTGTCAGCAAATCTCAGGTAGAAATGTTTGATAAGGGTGACAAGCTGGACGACTGCCAGGCCACTCCTTGCAGAGCCCCACCTCTGCAGGACCGCTGGGTCAGCTAACACACCATCACCAGGTGCCCGCACACCCTGAACAGAACGGAAATTTCATGTGCATGCCGGGAAGAAAGCCATGAGAGTCCTCCACCCCCCCAATCTGGACTCGGCACCGCTGTTGCAGGGCTGGGACGGGGAGAGGACGGCGGGTTGCAGATCCCTGGCATCCACATGCACATGAACCGTGTGTTCCAGTTTTGGCACTGACATGTACCAGCTCTGTTGTTCTTAGGTAGATCAAGTCACATCTGTGGTTTTAGATTACGAACTGAGGAGATGGAACCAGACAACTCAGAGCAAACACTGCAAAATTCCATGAAATGTAATCTCATTCCATGAAAGGGGCCTGTACTGGGAGATCGTATACCCTGGGCTCTGGAGTCAGGCGGCTTTGGTTTAAATCTTGGCCCCGCTCTTACGAGCTGTGTGACCTTGGAGAAGTGACTTCGCCTCTCTGGGCCCGTTTCCTCTTCTGTAAAATGGAGATAATGATTCTTCAAAGAGTTGTTGTGAGGAAAAATAAGCTAATGCATGAAAAGTGCTTAAAGACTTCCTGGCACAGAGATCGTTTCAATAACTGTTTGCTATTGTTGTCATTCCAATTCCATTTAAAAATGTACCTATAAGTAAACACCGAAAGCAACAATGGTTATTTTGGTACCGTGGGGTTAGGAAGAATCATTCTTTTTATTATTCTTCCGTATGTTCCAATTTAAAAAAATAATAATAAACATGAATTACTGTTTTGGCAGAAAAGCTGCTGTTTTTTCAAAATGACTGCTAGCCTCTTTCAGTTCTCAGAATTACTGGGCTATTATTACCTGACATGAAAGGCAGAACACCAGCAGCCCAGTGAAAGCCATTCCTAATAATGTTTTCCTTCCGGCAGCAGAAACATTTCCACGGCCACCTCAATGTTCTGGAACAAAGGCTAAGGAAAGCTCAAGCCCTGGACAGACGTCAAACCCTGACCCAGTCATCTCTGAAACACCCCGAGCCTCCAGCACGAGGCACAGCGAGCTGGGCTCCTCAGGGTGCCGGTCACCACCCAGGCCCCTCCAGTGCTGCCGCAGGCTCCCGGAGAGCTGTCCCCCGCGGCACTCGGATTCACCCCTACAGCTCCAGAGGGAAACGAACAGAAAGGGAAGGAGAGCCAGGGCGGAGGCACACCCCCAGCCCTCACCCGAGAGAACTGGAAAGTGGAACGTGGGGCTCCTGTGGACTCCCCGGGGGGCGTGGGCTGAGGCAGGAGCCCCTGGGGGCCTGGGGGTCGCTGAGTGGTCAGAATGTGCACACAGATATCAGAACGAGGGGCCAGGTCACAACCACCTGCTTAGTCCCAAGGCCAGAGACAACGAACAAGGAACCTTTGCTTAAAGAAAAACACAGCTTGCCCTCGGTCAGCTGAGGAAAGGGTCAGGAATTTCACCTGGC